TCTCTAGTTCTCTCTTTTCATTTATTTTCAGATCCACGAGTATCCTTATTATTTTATTTTTTCTACTATGCTTTGTTTTTGATCGCTGATAACGGATTGCCTTTTGCGAAACTACGAGTAGTCTTTTGGTTATTTGACATTCCTGTCACATTCTCTCGTTTTGATGCTGACATTTACTCGTGCACGAGATTTTATTTCTCATCTCATACTTCCCATTTACTTTTTTTTATTTCCACCTTAATAATGCAAAATTGCTCCTTTATTCTAGGATTATACTTTTTCAATTATATCACTTATAATTTTACTTGAGCTTGCTTTTCTATAATGTCTGTTCACTCGATTACCTTGCAAACATGAAGTTTAAAATATGATGACAAATGGACGAATCCTATGTGAAGATGAATGTAAGAAGAGGCATTTAGAAATTTGATTAATAATCAATTTACAATAATCCACTAATTCAATGTGAAGATGAACGTAAAGCGAGACATTTAGAAAATGGAGAAATGATATATTTTCAATCATATCCTTATGTCTCTTCACTTAAAATAATTTTAGTCTTTCAGAACAGAACATTCAAAATACCTTCATAGCCGGGCTGAGGCAATTGCATTGGCTCATCGACCATATATATCTGATTCCGACAATCTCAGTCTTTCCTCTGCTTGGTGGCGCCAGTCACCCACGGTCTATCTGGGTCTGGCTAACGGCGACGTGGTGCAGCACGATGCTAGTGGTCATGAGACGCGGTTGCTTTTTCGTCACACAGCAATTCGAGACTCAACTACCACTGAATCCGAGGCCAAGGTGCCAGAGTTTGGAAATGACGGGCCTCTGGCTCCGATGCTTTCGGCTCGGAATAGGAAAACTTTTTTTGATTCTAAGATCATTAAAGACAATTGCTACTCTTCGGATTGTCATACAACTGTTATGCAGCATAATAATTCTAGATCTGCCTCATATCTGCGCCGTCCTATTCAGCGGTATTCTTCACCTACATCTGCCGCCGGATTCGTAGATGTGGAGGGCATTTCATCGCTAGCAGTTATTCGATCATCAGAAGAATCAC